TTTGGACACTTAGAAGTTTATAATCATCTTTTGACTTTATCTGCTTCACAATAAAGAGACCAAGAGCTACAATAGTGAATAGAATACCAACACCAGCACATACCTATCAGGAGAATAAGTATAGGTTATACACCGAGATAGAGGTTTTTATGGTATTTATTAACCAAGCAATGCAGTCGCGAGGTTAATAAATGCCATAGAAACCAATACCATGGTGTATAACCAACTTCTATCATGCCAAATTTCAACTAGCCAATCAATGCAGAATACGAGGTTTCGAAATCTATTAGATATCTCCCAGGATCACTTAGAAACCTCCTGAGAACACTTAAGCTGGGTTCAGAAAATTTGCGTTGCAACCAGAAGTGCCATATAATGCAATGATAAACGCAAGAATAGAGCCGAGTTCTATTCTTGCGTTTACCCATTGCGTTATATGGCACTTCCAGTTGCAACGCAAATATTCTGAACCCAGCTTTAGAAACTTGGTGCTCTACGCTTATGCTCTTATTAGGTCATTTGTCAAGCTTGGTTGATTCTTTACTTACCTAGCCTGTTAGATATGATGTATGTATGTATGTCAACTGTGGTCTTATTATCAGCAGGTGGCAGTTGTTTTTCAAATGTCATGGCAGAATATTAGTGATAGCTTTATCACCTATTTATTGACTTACAGCAGCTCCTATGAATTCTCCACCATTTGGTCGATATCGTAAACCATAATTTGGTTGTTCTCCATGGCATTTAAAGACCAACTCATGATATTGTGGTTGTTGTGTTATAATGTTGAATGTATCACAAGTCTTTCTCCAACCAGCTGAAACCACAACCATGGTATGAATAGGAACAAAATAGAACCAACAAAGAATCCAACTTGAATAATGTTAGCAATCAACCTAAAATGGAATTAAATATTATAAAATTACATATAAACTAATACTGAATTAACTTACGTTTTGACATTTATTTGAAATGAAACACTGATTAGCTCAATGGCAGTTAGCAGAGCCAGACATATTGTAGCAATGGTAGCACTTGCTATACTCAACTTACAAGTGGGCACATTAAAGTTGAAATCTGGGTGGTCTGGCTGTGGCTGAATGAGTGACATAGCTTGAGAATAATTAACAAAAAAAAAGCATGCTTCCCCATATACAGATTTAGCAGGAATGTTAGCCTGAAGGAGACTAAGAGAAGTACCAGCAGCTACTAGTGACACTAGAAGTGTCACAAAAGTAGCTAGTGAAAGGACCTGCTTGACTAAGGCTGCAGTAGGCATTGATACACAGACTCTGATCTAGGCTTAGGAATCACTCTCTACTCTCTAGTGCTACTAGTACTTACGCTCGAAGCACTCTTATGCTGCGTTTACACTACAGAAGTGGGCCAAACTGTGCTGAACCAGGCTGAGCTAGCCCTGCTGTACTAACCATGCTAGTCTGGTTTGGCCCAGCTCACTTCAGCTCAGTTTGGTTACTGTTTACATTATCAAATGAAACTGTGCTGGCCCACTTTAAACAGGGCTGGCTCAGTTAAAGAAGCTAGTGTAAACACAGTATAATATTATATAGGCGGTAGCCTATATTGAGGTTGATTTTTCAAGATGGCGGCCGTTTTTATTATTATTATTATTATTATTATTATTATTATTATTAATAAACTTTACAGCACGGAATAAAAAAAAAACAGTAAATCAGAGGGTAATGAATTATGTGAGCTGAAGGAAACCCAGTAAATACACTGGGCCCCTGAAACAAAAACAAAACAAAACAAACTAATGATCAATGATGTGATGAATGAATAATACACTGGCTGCATGGACACAAAGCATGAAAAGAACATAGATTGTCAGGATTGAAATGGGACATGAATAATTGCCAA